AAAAATTTGCGGATCACCGCGTTTGCGAGGTCTGATCGGGCAGAATTTTCCGCGCCGACCCGCATTTTGCGGTTATTTTGTAGGTCGTGTTTTTTCGGGGTCTACTAGAATTGCTCTTACACTACAACCACACTTAAACTACACTAAACTCGTATACTACAATCTTACATTAAAAATTCTACACATTACAACTACACACTACCTAGAACTCATTGGCAGCGGCGGCACCAGCGAGGGGGTGTTGCAGGGGGAGACATTAGCGACAGCGGTGGAGAAGATGGCAACGGAGATGACGGGGCAGGTGGGTCCTCGGCATCATCGATGCAGGCAGAGGCGACGACAGCGGAGAAGAAGAAGACGACGACGGTGGAGGTGGCGATGGAGATGGTGGCAGTGGCCGTTGTCGTTGGGTCCAGGCATTATCGCGTCCGAAAAATACCCTTTTAATTAAATTCTGAACATTCTAGTCCTATGTTTTAAGGGATATGTTTCCACTAAAGTGATTTTTTTTTATGTTTCAGACTTTTTTTAGGGGTGTTTCAGACCTTTTCTATTCACGAGCTGTTCCATCATTTTTATGTAGCATTACTCGGACCCTTAATTTACTTTGGCCTTGTTATTACTTCCTCCGTCTAGGTGTATAAGTCATCTATGGTGAAGCAGCGCGACCTAGGTGGCTGCCGATTGGAAGAGGCCAAAGAATCGGACCGGGAATTCTTCCAATCACTGCGTGACTTTTTTCCTCCTAAACCAAACGGAGATTAGCAATGAATCCCTCATTAATAGGGCTGCCGTCTCGGCCAACCCATGCAGGTCCATTCCCGTGCATGCAAACTGGGGCCAATCCCTCCCCTAATCAACGTGTTCCTTCTCTGCATGCATAGGTCGCTCCTTCTCTCCCACATTAACTTCCGCCCCCGCGTGGTTTAGCCAAATGAAATTGCTCGCTAATAAACAAGGCAGTGAGGGGAACGAGGACGGAATTTAATGCATTGCGTCTAAGAGTTTTGAGAATATCTGATTTTCGTAAGGTGACTTACACACCTAAACGGAGGGAGTAATCCAGAAGGCCAAATCTCAACAACAGCAAAAATCCAGATAGGCAGAGTCATTGGGCGAGTCAACCCCGAGTCCACGCGCACAGACGCGAGTCTTCTTGTCTCCGTGCCTTGCTCTCTACTCCCACCTCGCCACTCACCAGATCTGGGACTGGGAGCAAACCACACCACTCCCGCCGGCCGCCGGAGGGATCTTGCCTGTGCCCTCTACTACCTAGCCTAGCGATACACTAGCCACCAGTTCACCTCACCATCCCCGTTGGAGACCAGCCGCCGGAGAGCCGCCGGCAGATCGGATCGAGCAGAGCAATGCAGGTCGCGACCGGGGCCCTGAGCCCCCTCCTCCACAAGCTCGGGGACCTGCTCGTGGCCGAGCTCACCCTGAGCAGCCGCGTGAAGAAGGGCGTCCAGTCCCTCACCACGGAGCTGGAGCTGATGTACGTCGTCCTCTCCAAGGTCGGCGACGTGCCGGCGGACGAGCTCCACCCGCAGGTCCGGATCTGGGCGGGCAAGGTCCGGGAGCTCTCCTACAACATGGAGGACACCGTGGACGCCTATATGGTCCGGGTGTGCGACGGCAGCCAAGTTGAACTCGGCCCCAACAACTTGAAGAACAGAGTCAAGAAGTTCTTTAAGAGGACCAAGAAGTTGTTCACCAATGGCAAGGCTCTGCATCAGATCTCCGGCGCCATCCACGACGCCCAGGAGCTCGCCAACCAGCTGGGTGAGCTCCGTCAGAGGTACGATCTTGTGGCATCCACGGATGGTGTAGTGAATGCCATTGATCCTCGCCTCAAGGCTGTGTACAGGGATGTCACAGAGCTTGTAGGCATTGAGGATAGGCGGGATGAGGTGATTGAGAAGCTTTTTAATGGGGATGACATGTCTAAGCAGCAGCTCAAGACACTCTCTATTGTTGGATTTGGTGGATTGGGCAAGACAACGCTTACCAAAGCAGTGTATGACAAGATCATAAAGCAGTTCGACTGTGGCGTGTTTGTTTCGGTGTCACGGAATCCCGACATAACAAAGATTTTCAAGAATATGTTGTATGGACTAGACAGTAGTAAGTTTGCGAACATCAACGAAGCCATTAGGGACCATGAACAACTCATGAATGAGCTGAGAGTGTTTCTTCAGGATAAGAGGTATGCATTCATTGATATAAATTCTAAGGCCACCATCACATCTTTGCTAAGATATACCTCCAAGGAAACTTAGATAAATAGAAACCTGGTAACGTACGTCTTCATTTATACTTGATCTAATGTTCTACAAAATCCTTCAAGGAAACTTAGATAAATAGAAACCTGGTAACGTACGTCTTCATTTATACTTTGATCTAATGTTCTAGAAAATCCACAGGTACTTAATTGTCATTGATGACATTTGGACTGAGGATGCATGGGAAATTATCAAGTGTGCTTTGCCTAAAAGCGATCTTGGTAGTCGAGTAATAATAACAACTCGCATAACCAGTGTCTCCGAAGCATGTTGCCCATCTTGTGATGATATTATTCATAAGATGAAATCTCTTGATAATGATGACTCCAAAAGGCTCTTCTACAAAAGAATATTCCCTCAAGGAAGTGAATGTCCTGTTGAACTGGAGCAAGTATCTAGAGAGATTTTGAAGAAATGTGGTGGCGTGCCACTAGCCATCATTACTATAGCCAGTCTGTTAGCCAGTAATGATCAGCAGATAAAGCCAAAGTATCAATGGGATAACTTACTGAGTTCTATTGGTCGTGGACTTGAAGAAGGTGGTACTGCGAAGGATATGCAGAGAATACTATCCTTTAGTTATTATGATCTACCTTGTTATCTAAGGACTTGTTTATTATATCTCAGTATATTTCCAGAAGATTTTGAGATAGATAGAGACCGGTTGATATGGAAGTGGATAGCCGAAGGCTTTATCCAAGGTGGAGAACAAGACATTAGACTATTTGAGCTTGGAGAGAGATACTTCACTGAGCTGATAAACAGAAACTTGATCCAGCCATCATATGTTGATTTTCATGGTAGGGTGCGAAGTTGTCACGTACATGATATGGTACTTGATCTCATATGTTCTCTATCTACCGTAGAAAATTTTGTTACTATATTGGATGGTACTAAGCAAAGGAAAAGTAATTCAGATAGCATGGTTCGCAGGGTATCATTTCAGAATAGCATGTCAAAGCACACCACCCATCAGGTCAATGCCATAAGTATGTCAAAGTTAAGGTCTGTTACTCTCTTTAGAACTGGTGTTGATATGATCCAGACTCTTTCAAACTTCCATATTCTGCGTGTATTGGATTTAGAAGGTTGTAATCTTCAGAAAAGCAGCCACCAGATTGATCTTAGGTATGCTGAGAATTTATTACATCTGAGGTACCTCGGGCTAGAAGGTACATTTGTTGACGTTCTGCCCATGGGAATAGGAAAGCTGAAATTTTTGCAAACAATGAACTTAAGAACGTGTATGGTGATGCCATCCAGTGTTGGTCGGCTAGGACATTTAATGTGCCTCTATGTTGATATTACAGTGAGATTACCAGTTGAGATAGGGAATTTGGTGTCCTTAGAAGAGCTGAATGAAGTTATGGTGGGTGGTACTGATGCGATTGAGAAAGAACTAGGAAAGCTGGCGGAGCTGAGTGTGCTTGGTCTTTGGTGGGAGGGAGACGACGAGAGTGTTTGTAATTCTTTGGTGGTGTCCTTGGCCAATCTGTGGAAATTGCATAAATTAACTAGTTTTCTTTGTGGGGATGCAAGGTTTGATGACAGCTGGGACAGATGGGTGCCCCCTCCACACCTCCACGCCTTTTATTTTTATCACTGTACCTCAACATTGCCTAGATGTTTTAATTCATCATTGTTTCCCGTTCTCTCCTGTTTGCATGTAGTAGTGGATAGAGTGAGGCTGGAGGTCGACATTCAGATCCTTGGGAAATTTCCCGCTCTTCGTTCTCTCTGGCTGGGAACCACCAAAGACCAATGCACACTTCTGTCGAAAGGTTCATCATTGGCAATGATGCATTCCCCTTCCTGAGGCAGTGCGTATTCGATAATTTTCAGACGGGGCCATCTATGTTTCCACGAGGATCTATGCCCATGCTTGAATCCCTTAGCTTCTATGCCCGCGTGTCGCACATTGCAGCTGGTGATTTGGATGTCGACATGCAACACCTCCCTTCACTTCAGAAGGTTGATGCTTGTCTTTGGTCTGAAGAAAACTGCTCCCCAGCAGTGAAGAAAGTGGCTGATTTGCTGGAGCTAGCATCGAACGCCCATCCCAACCGTCTAACTTTTCGTTGGGGTCTGCTTTGTAAGTCATTTCTCTTACGCAGCCAAACTTATGTAGACTTTGACATAATTATAGCTTAGCTTAATTCTCTCCCGCCTGGCAATGCAAATTAATGCTCGTTCTTTTTCCTTTGTTTCAAAGCATTACCCAAGGAATGGGAAGAGGAGACTGCATCACTATCCACCGTGAACGATTCATCAGAAGGGGAGGCTGTTAGAGCCAATCCCATCAATTAAAATCTGCAGGTAAGCGGCAATTACCAAGACTGGTTTTGCTTTTTTTTTTGCGATGAGACTGGTTTTGCTCTTGGTGTTGTATAGGCAGATGAGCTCGTGAGCAAGTCATGTTATGAGGTGGGCTGATATATTAGTACAAAGTGACATATACCGTTTGTCTTGGGGCTTTAACAAAATAAAATGGGAAGGTATCAGTCGTTGATAAAAATAAGCAGTCCGTCGGCACCTAAACTAGAACCACCTTATAAGAAACCTGAGAGAGCCTAAGTAGTAATCACAATGAGGGCTGGGGTAGTCCGTATTGAAATCTCTAAAAGGTCTTATATTTCGAAACGGGGGAAGTATCTGACATGACAATAACAAACTGTTCACCTAGATACTTGCTCTCAAATGGCTCAGGTGCCAGGGGAGGTTTATGAAGATGTTTTTTTCCTCCCCCTGAACTGCAAAAAGCATAAAGTTTAAGGCGCCTATGTTTGGTTTTGTGATATATCATACATTGGCATTGTCTTGACTTATGCTTTACTATCCCCTGAAGGTTTGCCTAGTGGCTCAATGCTTTGTTTCCCACCTCAAGAGTTGTGCCGCCACTAGGATGTATGCGATCTGTGTGCTGGGAAATACTCCCTCCATCCCATAATATAAGTAGCAGTGTCAAAAACGCTATTATATTATGGGACAGAGGGAGTACCTTGGAGCCCTTTCTACTCTCTTTTACTTACCATGCTATTTCCTTCTGCGTGCCAGAATACTAAGCATGTCATTGAGAAGATGGACGTGAAGCTGGAAAATGGTGATCATGTAATGCAGCCTTACTGACAGAGGCGGAGTTGGCTGATAGCCGTGTCCAGTTTTTCCTTTGGTGTGGATCATGTGGGCTGAGGAACTCCTTTTCATTTTAGCTTGCCTAGATTAGGTTTGGCTGGTGGTTTTCATTTTCCTTGCAGTTTTTTGTGATCAATCTGCTGCTGTCTAAAATACACCAAATATTATTTTGTTTTCTCAGCCATACGCACTCATTATCTTGGGTACTCAACGCATGCTCGGAAATTATGCTGTTATCATGCGCACTATCCTATAAGAATGGACAATTTGTTAAGGTGTGCTGCAGCCTGCAGATGAATACTACTATGTAATGTACATATGAGAACAGCAAGCAGTGCCCCAGTCTGAACTTTCTCTCGGATTGTTGCTTGCTGGAGCTGAACTGCAATGAATACTGATTACATTCTAGCCTTACAAGTAAGTCTACATCCGGGAAGAATTGATGTACTGATCAACACTACATGAACATGCATGGTTTTTCCAAAGCTGCCATCATCATCATCATACAGAAACATGCCGCTTTTATCACTCGTCTGTCAGGTTCTGCCTTAGGGTTCAGTACTTCATGGCGTGCTGATAGGTGGGCGGAGGACGAAGAAGGAGATAGAGATCCAATAGGAGAGGGCAGTAGCTAGCTCAGAGATGCTGGGCAAAGTTCAGCAGGTGAGTGTGGAAATTGTCCTTCGACTTGCTGCGGCTACCAAACTCTGCACACAGAACTGAATCAGCATGTGCAGTAACAACTAACAAGGAAGGGGAGGGAGAAGAGAGGAGGCTGAGGAATATGTTATGAATGGGGAGCACGGGCCTGGCGTGGCAATGGGCAGAGCAGATTGCAGGGGGTGTGAAGGCTGGAGGGACACTGGCGGTGTGGAGAAGCCAAGGAGGAGGCGCGAGATAGAGTCATAGTCTAGTAGCTTCCTCCTCCATAGGGTTTCAGACTTCAGGTTGGTCAAGAGGGAGAGAGACCCCTGCAAATTAGTATCCAATGCCCGATTAATCCATCATGCAACAGAAGAACCACATGTACTATAATTACCTTTGATAGAGTCGGCGCAGAAGTGCGCAACACTTCGTCGAGATATGAAGACAGAGGCTCCCATCCCTCACTTCTCTTGTATGGATGCAAACGGCCAACTGCTGAATTCACTGTTAGCTGTGATTTGTTCTGCAGAATCCGAGTAATGGATCCAAGGTCAAAAGAGTGAACAATATAAAATGATGAATTCCTTACTATGAGTTGGACAACAGGAGTGAATCTGCTGAACAGGAACTCAAGCTCTGGTAGACGTCAGCGAAACATCACAGTATACATGCAGTCTCCACAATCTGCACTAGATGTTTTTTTTTATTTTTTGAATGGTAATAATATGCAAAAGGTGTAGTTGGCGGTCCGTGGTGCTATGCACCGTGTGCACAAGTAATCAACCTGTTCCAATACTACAAGAATGAAACATGTTGTTTAAGCATCAAGATTTTCAGAAGAAAGAAATGGTTAAGGAAACAGAGCGAAATAAGGTGTGTTGTCTACACCATATACTGCTCAGATAGATCAACATAACAGAGGATAAACTACTATTCCGCCCAAATAGTTAATCTCATGAACCAAAAGCTACCCAGACACTAGGAACTTAGCCAGTGCGAACACAAGTGAATCTGGCTGAAGCTCGAAGGGACCACCGAAAAGACTTCTATATATGATCTGAGACCTGAAACATTTCCACAGCTTGAAGGTTAGGGCAATCATCATACTCTAAGCTAAAACAAAAACGCACATCCATAGATTTATGTATAGCAGAAACTAATAAGAATTCATCCCTAGTTCAAATAATCGGCTATACCCTGTGTTTTCCAAATTTTACCATGCAATGCAAG